ATTTTACATAAAATAAAAAAAGACAGAAAGGTCCATAAAAGTGTATAGGATTTCCTAAAAGCTCGTTCACGAGTCTACGGAAACCGCGGCAGACCAAACCAGATGAAAGTGCGCATTCAGCGTCTGCTCCGCCGATAATGCAAGCGTAGAAGAAGAAATGTGCTGTTTACCTGTGCAAAGAAAGAAACAACGAAAGAAAAATGTCTGAGGACTTCAGTGTTGAGGAAGAGCATGAGTTCTTTGCCAAGTCACCACCTTCATCTGGTTTGGTCTGCCGCGGTTTCCGTAGGCTCGTGAACGCGCTTTTAAGAAATCCTATACACTACTGTTTATGCTCTAAAAACATTTTAAATGACTTCGTTTCGAGTAAATTCTGGATGCTACCCACTCAGGACACTTGGAATACATTGGACGAGCAGTATGGAGGAATATTGACACGTTTTTTGTGGACTTTTATGGACCTTTCTGTCTCGGGCGCTATGGACCTCCATTATTTGAATGTCAGCAGACAGCAAGAAGCCTCCCAGATCTCCAGATGCATTTGAGATATCAAAAAAGTACTCCAGAGTGTTGTTCAGCATGGGGGTGAGTAGAAAATGAAGGCTAATCATGTTTTGGGTGTACTATTCCTTTAAGGCGTGTTTTTAGGGTGACTGTTAACATCTGTCGAGGGGCAGCAGATGAAAAATAGCTGTTGAGTCTAAATCAGGTACATGTACAGAAATGTTCATTAATGTTGTCCCTGTCAATTCAAATAATGCATTTAAAAACTGTTTCTGGATTGTTTCCAAAAGGAGATCTGAAACTGCAGCGAAAGGAAACATGCAAATCCGAGATAGAGATCATGAAACTCTAGGACCAGGCTTTACTTTCAGTTCTGCCCACGTGTCGCGGTGATGCAACACCATGGAGGTCTAGAGGTCAACCAGACAATACAGATCCTTGATGGTTTTTAAAACGTTTAAGTCTGGAAAGATCTGGACAGAGGTCCAAACATCTACACTAATACCCCATTTACACTAGCCTATAGAAACCGTGCTGAGAACGGTCCGAGTAACCGAGATAATGCAACTAAACTGGACCATTCCAGACACAACCGAACCGAGGGGAGTGGCGGCCTAGCGGTTAGGGCATAGAGCTTGGAATCCTGAGGTTCTGAGTTTGACCCCCACTCCCACAGACTGACACTCTGTTTCTGAGAACAGATCTGAGCTAAACAGGATGACTGAACTATGCCTCATCGTTCATCCATTAGGAAAAGGAACGTCTCTGCTGCACCTCATCCAAGGACACATCCTTAGCAGGGCTCGATGTTAACCATCTCCCTGGGCAAGTAGTCTTTATTGCTGGGAGAGTACAAATTTCATTGCATTTACCCACCGGGCGAGTGAAATGATCGCAAAAAAAAATTACTTTAAAATCACCGACATTCGGTGAAAACGACCCAGAAGCTTTGTCAGCGCCATTTTTGTTGTTTTGTACACGTGATTTGAAAAAGCCGGGAGATTTTCCGCCAGATGGCGTGATTTTTGTCCACCTAGCGATAATTTTGATGTAGTTACCAAAACGGCAAACAAGCTAGAAAGCTCTATCATATGGCAGTCTTCTGTACAGTGATGCAGGTCATACATTAAAAAATTTTCATTACATTTTTTTCTCTTAGACATTGGAGTGGTGCATTTAAATGTTATAGAGCTAAACATGTTAAATTGGTGACCTGTTATGCTGTTATTATTGTCTTGTTGCTGCATTTATTTTGTCAGGGAAAACTAATCCTGAGTCAGTTAAAAGTCAGGGAATTCTGAAATGATGCAAGACTGTGGAAACCCTGTGTAAAATAACTATTTATAATGATTCTCTAGAAAAGTCACAATATATTAATAGTATTATCTTGTGTAAACATAGTGTGACTCTAAAATAAAAGTTATTAATCTGTGACATTGACTTTTGCCTTGTGATTCATTTTAAGTTTTTAACCTGTCAAGTTTTTCGTAGATTTTTAACATTACGATTTATATTTTTCCAAGCACACAACAGTTTAAAGCAACATTCAGTTTGAAAAGAATGTGCAGGAAGGATTGAAAAGCATGTTAACACGGTAATGTAGGCTTGAGTTCATTATCTGATGCATGCAGATACACACCAGGAACCTGGAATCTTAAAAAACACTGAATTACAAAAAACATTTAAAAAACAAACATGTTTCATTGATATATATATACAAAAATGAATATTAGGAACTATATTTATCAAACATTATACTGGGCAAGTAAAAATTGTTTCTGGGCAAATGAAATGTGAAATTTAAAATCCTTAACGTCAACCTCTGCTTAGTTTCAAGGTCATTTCCTCTTCAGCTCCAGGAAACAGGACCTCAGTCGGTGCAGCGAGGAGCAATGGCACAGAGACGGAGTTGGACGGAGAGGAGCTGGACTCCTGGTTGGGTTGGAGGAATTTTAATGTCTTTATTATCAACCTCTTCAGGTTGATTTCTTTAAAGTTTGGATCTTGTTTAACCTGCTGGGCATCTCTCTGCTACAGAACACATCACTTCAGACCTTACTGAGTCGTCACCATTTGGAGCTTTTTTTATTATCCACTAAATGCTGTTTTTTCAGATTTCTGAACAGTTTTCTGGTTTCATTCTCAGAGCCTCTGGAATCTATCAAACTGAGCTGCAGATCTATTTTATTTTTTCCAATCAGCTTTTAACCAAAAGAGTCTGTTCTCTCAAATAATATGTGGATGGACAACCAGCAGTGGGCCGCCTGATCCGTTCAGGATTCTTGGACAAAGGCCCGAATTCACCTGCAAAATACTTTTCATGATTAGAAACAAATCTTTACATCGGAACTGAAAGAAGTCAGTCTGAACTTGTCCTTTGCTCTCTGATTGCTGGCAAAAAGATAATTCAGATTTTTATGTAAAAAACGTAAAGATGACATAATATCAGAGGGAAACTATGATCTACTTCCCGAATGCAAAAATCTTAAGAGTGTCAATCTGTGAAAAAGGGAAGTAAACGTAAAAGCTGGGTCATGTAACATCACCTCAGTGTAAACAATGACATCATTCTCCTGCTTTGGCTAGAAAAACAGGAAGTATATTATATTAGTGATGCAATCCTTATGTTTCTAAAAAAGGCAAAGCTGCGCCGAGGAAATCCTCCAAACTCTTCAGTAAAACTCAGATTTTTACATGAATGGTTTTTGGAGAAGAAAAGGAAGTTTGAATGATTTTGATATAACCTGACCTCTGTTGGTAACAAACTGCTGAGGTTTTCAGTGAGGATCAGAAAGCTGCCGGCGGAGGTAGAACCAGGGAAAACATCTGGATCCGTCCAGCTTTCATCCTAAAAGCAGAGCCATGTAGTTCGTTCCACATAATGGCAGATATTTTAGAAATGTTTCCCTGTTGGCTTCCATGCTTCATGAGTATTGAGAACCAACATTTGACAGCATCTTTGGTGCAGAAATACGTGCTAACTTAATGTACCCCCACCTACCATCCGGAACACGAACTTTGTGGTTGGTTCGGACTCCGTCTGCATGAACAACTGCCAACAAAACACAGCATCAACATGGTCATTTAACCAGAATACAGATCTTTTAGGAATGTGGGCGGGGCCAGATACTGATGTGGAAACTCCTGAAACTAAAACAGGCTGTGGAATGTCACATCGGACCTAAAACTTCTCAATCTTCACAAAGATTCTGTTATCCCTGTGGCTTCGGTGCCCTGTCAGTTTCACAGCTTTTCCTTCCACTAAATTTTCCTTCTCTATGCTTTGAATTCTACTTGAAGTGATTTTTATCTTTAAAGTGGTTATCAGATCAGCAGAAATGATTTTGTTTATTTCAGCTTTTAAATTAGTTATTAAATTACATTTCTGATGTTGAAAAAACAGAAATATGAGCCAAACATTTTTAAATGTATTTGAAAATCTGGAATTTAGGGATAGGTTTAGGATGAATTATAGGAAAGAAATGGTGAATTGCTATGGTGATTGCCTCCTTTTTTGAGTCTCAAAGTTAGCAAACAATTTAAGTGTCAGAAAAACCAGAAGATCCTCTCCTGCCATAAATTTAAAACCGCTCATCTCTGGAGCTCTTATGGTGGAAATAAAATAAGTCTGGACAGAGCGGAGCTGGACTCCTTTTATTTTATTTAAATTAAATAAAAAGCAGAGCTGTATTTCAGATGGAGTTAGTCTGACTGGGAACTGGTATGACAGGATTAAGGAAGTCCTACAGCAGCGAACGGAAGGAGAAACACCTTCGTTTAGATGTGGAGATGAAATCCAGCAGCTGAATGTTTCAAAGCAATGAATCTAGTCACATCATCACTCAATCAGTGAAAGGAGTTGAAAGTTTACTGAGTGAAAGTCAGCATGCCTTTCAACTTTAAGCCTGTTCTGTGGTTCATAAGGAATTGCTTCGGGGATTTCTTCCTGCCTTCCTCAGCATGTCAGAGTCTGGCTTCTGTTGCTTCAGAAAGTGATTTTTCTGTGGATGATGGGGGTGAGGAGCCGCTTCCCAGGATGCTTTTGCGGAAACATTTTCCCACCAAGCCAGTAGTTTATCTGCCGAATATCACGGAGGCACAGCTGCTTATGAACATGGCGCCTTCAGGTATCGAGGAGCCAGAACTGCAGAGATCCGCTTCTCTTCCTGTTCTCAATTTTCCCATGATGTCACACCAGGAAGCAGGTCTTAGGCGAGGCGTTGCCCTAAAACACATCAATGGAGTGACTCTACAGAACATCACCACCGTTTGGTTCAACTGGTGGGAAAAAAAATGGTCCTCAATGGTTCCTGCTCTGGGAGGCCATCACTGATGGAGCCAAAGGCCTGAAACAGGAAGTGACATCGCAGCAGCAGGCGGCGCTGGATGAAGAACCAAAGACTGCATGGATGAGCGAGCAGAAGTAGAGCTAGCCGGCCAATTAGACACACTTTCCTCCTCATCCTCTTCCTCCAGGAAGGAAACAGTCAGAGAGCTTCTGTTTCTTAAAATAGTTTATTTAAAGTCTTTTGTGACAAAGCAAGACAACGTTCATCTCTACACATCTCTGTTTCACCTGCAGCTAAAAGTGACACCAAATAAAGAAACTGTTTTATCACTCTGGAAGATTATAAAAAAACAAAACTTCACATCCTTTTGATCTTTATTCAAACAGGAAATCATCCGATGAGCTTCTGAGAAGGAAAAGCTGCAGAGCGTTGAAAAAAAACCAGAGAAAAGAGTGATGAAGAGGAACAGAGATGCGCAGAGCAGCTCCCCTAAAGTTCTGGTCCACGTTTGGTTCCTCAGGCTGGGGCTGAGGCCAGCGGGTCAGCTGGGAGAACCAGAGCAGAAGCTCCGCCTCCTCCTTATTTGGTGGGGATCTTTGCTCGCTTCCTGGCGATGGCGTCCTCCACGGCCTTAAGCTGCTTCAGCAGCTCCTCGCGACGGGAAAGAGTGCTGCTTGCTTTGCCGGAACCGGAACCAGAACCAGCCGGCGGGGCCGAGGCAAGGGAGGCCGGCTTGCTGGACGGCGCAGCGGGGCCTTTCCCAGATGACTTTGAAGGAGGAGACAGAGGGCGTTTTCTGGAAAAGAGGTTAGAGGTCAAGCGTTAGTGCCAAGCTGCGACTCTGAACACCAGAACCACCCTCCAGAACAGTCTATGATCGTCCCAGCAAACCTTTACACACAGATCTATAATTGTATATCTATACGCCACCAAGCTAATCGGCAGCATGAAGCCAACGGCGCTTCTGAGGCCTAAACACGGCGCCGCAGAGCTCCACCAGACAGCAGACCGCTGCTCGACGTATCTAAACATGTTTTAATTAAAGGTGGGACGCCTTCGTTTCCAAGTGTGAAGACGTTTCGCTTCCCATCCAGGAATCCTTTTCAATTTAAAAACCTTCCAGGATGGGGAGCGAAGGATCTGTATCTCTACTCTCTGTATCTCTGCTTCTGTCTCCTGGAACCCCAGTGGACCTCGGCAGATGGCCGCTCACACTGATCCTGGTTCTGCTGGAGGTTTCTCCCTGCTCAAACTGAGTTTTCCTCTCCACTGTCGCTACAAGCATGCTTGGAGAGAGGGACTGCATGAGTGGATGCAAACAGCTGGTTTCCCTTAGATAGAAAACTTAGAACCAATCTGACGGTATATTCTGGTTGAATTATCTCTGTATTGTTATTTTAGATCATGTATTGTGAATAACACTATATAAATAAAGTGAATAGAACATTCATTGAATTAAATAATCAAAGTTAATGTTTTATAGTGTAGGCCCTAGTTTTAATATACGATTTAAAAATGTGTCCTGACATGAAGCTGATAATCTGTGAAAATAAGAATCCAGCTCTTCCTCTTCCTCCCTGTAATCTGCAGTGGTTCGCTGCTCCGTCTGAACCAACCAATCAGAGGGACTCTCAGGCAGGGCGAGGGTCCAATCAATCAGGCTCTCAGGCAGCTTGGATTTAATCATTTGTGAAGGTTGATTAAATGGAGCCTGCATTTTTCTAAATGTTTGCTTCACATTATTTGATATAAGCAGCATTGGTGTGAGATTTTGATTGGACTTTCTGTATTAATGCCAAACTGCTTTCAATCCTTTAAATATTCAGGTGTTTTTATTTGTCCATTTGACTGAAAACTTTCTGCATTGTGCCTGAAAGTTTCTTCTCTATTTTGTCTAAAGGAGGTGATTTTCTGATTCAATGTTTCCAGTGGAGGATTTACACCTGTTGCTTCTTCACCCCAAACATCAAGGGCATCAGGTGTGAATGCAAAGACAAAGGTGGACGCACCTTGGCAGGATTCAACTGACTTTGGCTTAAAGTGAGTTTAGCACCTCGAGAGTGTCCAGCGCTAAAGCTGGAAAATCTCTACTCTTTGCAGCTGGAGGCAAAACTTCAACCAATCAGAGAAGCTGATCTAGGAGCTGCCAAGGAGGCATACACTATACGGAAGCCGTGATCTCTGCTCCTGCAGAGCAGTCAGAATGCAGTCCAGGTAAACCCGGTGGCATCAGACTTTTTCAATCCAATATTGGATTGAAAATATATGTGATGCAATATTTTTCCATCACACTGACTGCAGTGCATAGAGGCTTTTTCATTACAGGCTGAGCAGATCCCAATCTGTGCCGATTTTTACCTTTTTTCTGCCCCATCAACTGAAACATTATCCCAACATTTGGCTGGGTCAGATTGAATAACAAAATGAAAAAACAATAATAAAAAATGAAAAATAAAACAGCCAACACGGTACAAAGAAAAGCCCAACTTTATGACCAGCCTGCACAGCCAACTCAACCACTGGAGCGCCCAGCAACAAGGTTCCATTATCCACAGCAGGGGTCTTCAATGTTTTCCAGGCCCACAGACCCCCAATTACATATACTGCATGAAATTGTGTTAAATCAAACTGGTCCTATAGTCACTCTGTTACATATGGAGTAATGTACCTAAAGTAATTCCTCCCTGGGATTATTAAAGTATTTCTGATTCCTGGTTGATGGGACAGGTGTTGTGAATGAAACGGTGCCCAGTTTGAAAGAGCTCCTGTGTGTCGCTGAATGTCTGCATTGATGACTGAAAGACATCTTCTGCCTCCATTTATCTGTTTACTACAGTCTGTTCAATTCATGTTAATGTGGATTTAAAGACATTTCAATTAGGGGGGGTTGTATACAAAAAGTCAACCAAAACTTTTGCGACCCCCATGCAGTACCTCCACAGACCCCCAAGGGGTCGCGGACCCCCTGTTGAAACCTCCAATTCACAGCATTTGATGCCATTTTGATTCTTAAAACACATTCATTGTGAACAGAGTGTAAATCTAAAACAGCCTTTCAGTATCCAAGTTTTAACATTCTGATTAAAGGAATAGTACACCCAAAACATGATTAGCCTTCATTTTCTACTCACCCCCATGCTGAACAACACTCTGGAGTACTTTTTTGATATCTCAAATGCATCTGGAGATCTGGGAGGCTTCTTGCTGTCTGCTGACATTCAAATAATGGAGGTCTATGGCGCCCGAGGCAGAAAGGTCCATAAAAGTCCACAAAAAACGTGTCAATATTCCTCCATACTGCTCGTCCAATGTATTCCAAGTGTCCTGAGTGGGTAGCATCCAGAATTTACTCGAAACGAAGTCATTTAGAATGTTTTTAGAGCATAAACAGTAGTGTATAGGATTTCCTAAAAGCATGCGCCTGCGAGTTCACGAGTCTACGGAAACCGCGGCAGACCAAACCAGATGAAAGTGCGCATTCAGCTCGGCAAAGAACTCATGCTCTTCCTCAACACTGAAGTCCTCAGACATTTTTCTTTCGTTGTTTCTTTCTTTGCACAGGTAAACAGCACATTTCTTCTACGCTTGCATTATCAGCAGAGCAGACGCTGAATGCGCACTTTCATCTGGTTTGGTCTGCCGGTTTCCGTAGGCTCGTGAACGCGCTTTTAGGAAATCCTATACACTACTGTTTATGCTCTAAAAACATTCTAAATGACTTCGTTTCGAGTAAATTCTGGACGCTACCCACTCAGGACACTTGGAATACATTGGACGAGCAGTATGGAGGAATATTGACACGTTTTTTGTGGACTTTTATGGACCTTTCTACCTCGGTCACCATAGACCTCCATTATTTGAATGTCAGCAGACAGCAAGAAGCCTCCCAGATCTCCAGATGCATTTGAGATATCCAAAAAGTACTCCAGAGTGTTGTTCAGCATGGGGGTGAGTAGAAAATGAAGGCTAATCATGTTTTGGGTGTACTATTCCTTTAATGCATAATAATGAGTTATCAGATTATTTTAAGTTCATTGTTTCCGTAGGAACAGGACAGAAGTCCACAACGATTCAATGCCTAGTCATGGTGATCCAATATGAAACTGATTCAAGTTCTCTATCAAGGGAACCATGTGATTGGTTGAAGTTCTCCAGAGGAAGCAGCTGCTGGATTGTTTGTCAATAATCTAATGTTTGTATTTTAAATCTTTATTTTGTTATTTTTTCAAACCAATCATGTCCTCCTCTGATCGCAGCTTTAATAGTAGTATATTAATGAAAGGTTTTCCAGTATTCTACTGAACAATTTTAAATTTTAGGATTTGACGTGTATTTTTCAAGTTAATAGTCTGTAGTTCTCTCTTTAATGCCCCCCTTGCGGCTCCTTGGAGCTTTTTAAAAATGTATGAAAATGGAGGTCAAACAAACATTCCTTATCTTTTCCAATGCTGTAAAAATGTGTATAATAAATAAATTTAAGCAAAAAATGTAAACATTTCTGTCAATGAAGATTTGCTTCCCACGTTTCAGGAGCGGCGTGGTGCCAGGCAGGTGGCGGCGGGTGTACGTCGGACCATGGATCCCAAAGGGAAAAAAAGGAAGATAGCTGATCAGAACAGAGGATTCAAAGAAGAATGGAGCGAATCATTGGCTTTCATTATTAATGCGGAAGGATTGCCTGCATGTTTGCTTTGTAATGAGAAGTTGTCAAGTAATAAAAAGCATAATTTGGAAAAGCATTTCATATTTAGGTATGATAAATATACAGCCGACCACCAAGTTGGGAGTGAGAGAAAAAGTGCGATTGCAGAAGTCCTTGATAAATTAGAAGAGAGCAAAGACAGATTTAGGGAGTAGATTGCATCTCCAAACTCCACTGCTGCTGCTAGTTTTGTTGCACACATTAAAAAAAAGTCCACAGATCGAACAGGTAGCGCTCTGATGTAGGGATGTGAATTTTTTTCCATTTTTTCCCTAAATCCTCAAAATAAATATAACACCACAAATCAGATGCAACAAAACTTAATACATACAAACGTCTGTGATCTAAACGCGGTGACAGCGCTCACAGCTCCTCCCTCGCCTCGAGCAATCATGGAATTTAAACTTCAAGCATTGAATATCGTACAGCAGATAAGTCACATGATGTGACATTTGATCAAAGATTAACATTTAATCATTAATGCTTTTTATATATACAAGCCTGCATAGTCCATTTGTTATTGCAGGCTTATACGCTTAGAGCCAGTGTTGCCATACAAGGCTTATATAAGACTAAAATTTTTGCGGCTCTAGACAGATGAGTTTTTTGGGCCTAATTAGGCTCTTTGAGCAGTTTGGGTTGCCAACCCCTGTTCTTGATGTACCCCGTCTGTACTTCTAAACATTCTGTACCTGTAGTCCTAAATAGTGTTGCACAGATACCAGTATCGTGCGGGGCGAGCACCTAGCGAGTACCAACAAATAGGGCACCGATACCATTCTGAGAGGCAAAAGTTTATTCAACTATTGTCACCCATTCCAGGTAAGCAATAAAAAGTTGTACTGGATTCTCTTGTTATTTGTCTTTTTCCTGCTTCACAAAGGTAGGCAGCAGCTTGACAAAGCCATTATTTTACATCCAAGTAGTATCCAGGTCTTCATATATACACAAACATCATTTTCAAATAGATAGTATCAGTCGATACTGCACAGCCAGCAACCGGGTATCGAGGCCAAAAAAATGGCATCATGCCTTTAGTCCTAAACGCTGCGTTTCTGTAGTCCTAAACGTTGCGTTTCTGTAGTCCTAAACGTTGCGTTTCTGTAGTCCTAAACGCTGCGTTTCTGTAGTCCTAAACGCTGCGTTTCTGTAGTCCTAAACGCTGCGTTTCTGTAGTCCTAAACGCTGCGTTTCTGTAGTCCTAAACGCTGCGTTTCTGTAGTCCTAAACGCTGCGTTTCTGTAGTCCTAAACGCTGCGTTTCTGTAGTCCTAAACGCTGCGTTTCTGTAGTCCTAAACGCTGCGTTTCTGTAGTCCTAAACGCTGCGTTTCTGTAGTCCTAAACGCTGCGTTTCTGTAGTCCTAAACGCTGCGTTTCTGTAGTCCTAAACGCTGCGTTTCTGTAGTCCTAAACGTTGCGTTTCTGTAGTCCTAAACGCTGCGTTTCTGTAGTCCTAAACGCTGCGTTTCTGTAGTCCTAAACGCTGCGTTTCTGTAGTCCTAAACGCTGCGTTTCTGTAGTCCTAAACGCTGCGTTTCTGTAGTCCTAAACGCTGCGTTTCTGTAGTCCTAAACGTTGCGTTTCTGTAGTCCTAAACGTTGCGTTTCTGTAGTCCTAAACGCCCCGTGTCTGTAGTCCTAAACGCCCCGTGTCTGTAGTCCTAAACGCCCCGTGTCTGTAGTCCTAAACGCCCCGTGTCTGTAGTCCTAAACGCCCCGTGTCTGTAGTCCTAAACGCTGTGTTTCTGTAGTCCTAAACGCTGCGTTTCTGTAGTCCTAAACGCTGCGTTTCTGTAGTCCTAAACGCCCCGTGTCTGTAGTCCTAAACGCCCCGTGTCTGTAGTCCTAAACGCCCCGTGTCTGTAGTCCTAAACGCTGTGTTTCTGTAGTCCTAAACGCTGCGTTTCTGTAGTCCTAAACGCTGCGTTTCTGTAGTCCTAAACGCCCCGTGTCTGTAGTCCTAAACGCCCCGTGTCTGTAGTCCTAAACGCCCCGTGTCTGTAGTCCTAAACGACCCGTGTCTGTAGTCCTAAACGACCCGTGTCTGTAGTCCTAAACGCCCCGTGTCTGTAGTCCTAAACGCCCCGTGTCTGTAGTCCTAAACGCTCTGCGTCTGTAGTTCTAAACGCTCTGCATCTATAGTTCTAAACGCTCTGCGTCTATAGTTCTAAAAGCTCTGCGTCTCTAGTTCTAAACGTTCTGCGTCTATAGTTCTAAAATCTCTGCGTCTATAGTTCTAAAAGCTCTGCTTCTATAGTTCTAAAAGCTCTGTGTCTCTAGTTCTAAAAGCTCTGCGTCTATAGTTCTAAAAGCTCTGTGCCTATAGTTCTAGACGCTCTACATCTATAGTTCTAAAAGTTCTACGTCTCTAGTTCTAAAAGCTCTGCATCTATAGTTCTAGACGCTGTGCATCTATAGTTTTAAAAGCTCTGCATCTATAGTTCTAAAAACTCTGCATCTATAGCTCTAGACGCTCTGCATCTATAGTTCTAGACGCTCTGCATCTATAGTTCTAGACGCTCTGCATCTATAGTTCTAAAAGCTCTGCATCTATAGCTCTAGACGCTCTGCATCTATAGTTCTAAACGCTCTGCATGTATAGTTCTAAACGCTCTGCATCTATAGTTCTAAAAGCTCTGCGGCTGTAGTTCTCAATGCTCTGTGTCCATAGTTCTACGAATCGGGGTTGGTCCCTGTGCTTCAGCAGATCTTTGATCTCCGCTCAACGCTGCTGATCACGTTCTGCCGTCCTGTGATGCGTGGCGGACACGCCTCATCAGGGAAACAAACAACCTTCACACCTTTTTGAAACTGTTCGTCTTTAACATAAACTGATCTGAGCAGAAACCTGGGAGCTCTCTGTTGCCGTGCAACCATGAACAATGGAGGGACATGTTCTCCGTCATCTATAGATGAAATCTGTCACCTCTCCACAAACGTGTTCTGGCTCCACAATGCAGTTTTCCAAAGTCTGAGTCACTTGTGTCACTTGTCTAAATGACGCATGCAGACGTGAAAATGTTCACGACAAGCCTCAGACCCTTTTCACAATGCCTGCCGGTGGTTAAACACCTTCATGAGTCAACAGAACCTGCTGCACCAACGATCGATAAACACATAAAACCAAGGTTTAAAGGAACATGAAGTCTGATCTAATAATAGGAGGATCTGCGTTTGTCAGATCATATGTTAATGTGAGTCCAGATGTTTCGTCTGTGAGAATTTAGAAGATATAAATATAACTAATAAAGAAACAACCGCTCAATAGAACCAGTCTGAAACCTTGTTGACCTCTTTACCAGATGCTGACAGTTGTCCAAGACTCACCAGAAGTGACATCACAGAGGAAGTCCCTCGAATATTTATTCTACGAAGCATCAATCATAAATCGTTCAGGCAGGTTGAGCAAAAACAGCGTTAAAGGGGTAAAATGTTTGATGTGGCACCGACCTGAGACCGATGTGCAGCGTATAAAACTCATCCCCACCTGCGATACTGCTCCACTGATTTTCTACACTCATGATTATTGCCTTTGTCTCAGGTGGGATCATGAGAAATAGCCCCTATAGTGTAGCGTCTATAATCAAAACATCTGCAGTAGGATCCTCTGATGGCAGTTTTAATAGTAGTTTATTAATGAAAGGTTTTCCAGTATCTTACTGAACATTTTTAAATTTTAGTATTTGACGTGTATTTTTCAAGTTAATTGTCTGTAGTTCTCTCTTTAATGCCCCCCTTGCAGCTCCTTGGAGCTTTTTCAAAAAATATGCAAATGGAGGTCACACAAACATTCATTATCTTTTCAAATACTGTAAAAATGTGTATAATAAATACATTTAAGCAATAAATGTAAACTTTTCTATGCATAAAGATTTGCTTCATAGCCTGCAACACACGGAATGACAATAAACTTGAATTATTATTATTATTATTGTTAAATTAGAAGAGACCAAAGATAGATTTAAGGAGTAGATTGCATCTCCAAACTCCATTGCTGCTAATTTTGTTGCACACATGAAAAAGCGTCCACAGATCTGTTCCAGTTTGGCTGTGACTCCATCCTGGATTGAAAGAGAATATGTGCAGTGATCATCAGTCAGGACCTGAAACATTCAGAACCTGTAAGAAGAGCTACAGGCAGAGCAATGCTCAACCTCTGCATCATGTCCACTTTTGGCCCTGTGGGTCAGAGAGTCAAGCGCTGGACTCTACAGCCAGTGGAACGCCATCAGGACTTCCAACCCAACGAGATTTCAGCAGCAAAAAAAAAACAAAAAATAAAAAGTCTGCTGCTTGATTTTTAATGCTTGTATATCTGTTGCTTATGAAGGGCATCACACGCCTAAGATGCTCAGAAGATCATAAGGGGCTGCTTCGGCGGCTCAGGTGTGTCAAGATGCGATACGCCTTCTGACCGAAACACCATGCAGGACCTTTTAGTAATAATTAAACTTTATTGATCTCACATTGGAGAAATGTACCTATTCAACCCATCCCCTTGGGGAGCAGTGAGCTGTAGGGATGGAAACGGTTTATTCGACTGTCTCTGTTCGATTCGTCTGTGTTTCGTTCGGTTCATGCGCTGCTCCTTTTTCTCATAGGTCAAGCGTTTACACTCCAGAGCAGAAGGTGGCGGTACTGCGACCAAAGCCAACCACCAGTAGTAAACAAGAAGAAGAAGAAGCGAAGCAGCGTAGCCGGGTGTAGCAGAAAAAAAATCAGTTGTGGAGAATTGTGTGGGTATGGCGAGTGGGAAAGAACAGGAGTTGGAAGACGCGCCAGCAGCACTTTATAGGTCTACTGTATGGGACCACTTTGCATTTAGAGTGACCTACGATGACAACGGAAAGAAAGTTGTGGATAAAAGTGCAACAGTGTGCAAGCATTGTGCAACACGTTTTGTTTATGCTAACAGCAACACGACCAACATGTCAGGCTAACAATGAACCAAAAACCGTGACCATGAAACCGTGAACCGAACCGAACTGTGGATGTTGTGAACCGTTCCACCCCTAGTGGGCTGCCATCATGGAGCGCCCAGGGAGCAGAGTGGGGTTAAGGATCTTTGCTCAGAGAACAAGAGTAGCAGTGTGTTGGAGTGGGGCTTGAAATACACCACTAGGACCGCCACTCCTCACATTTCGATGCATGTTGATACAATTCATGAACATGTAAACCCGCTCCTCCTGCTGCTGGAAGCGCTTGCTGTGTGAACATAGACAACATATTCAGCAGCAGATCTTCCTGTGAACCGGGCCCACGTTTTTAAAAACAGACTGTAATGCCTCCTCCTCCTCAGCGTAGAAACTACTCCTTGCCTGATGGCGGGTCAGTTTCGGCCATTTCTCTGGCGTTGAAAGGAACGGTTGTTTAAAACCGGATCTGTTTAATGCTGGGGCATTCTGCTGCAGAGATCTCTAAATATTTCAGGCTCTGCAGGGAGGTCCACTTGGTTCCACTTTTTGCTGCCGTTCCTCATTTCTGCTAAGCTAATGCGTTCATGTAAATTCCTGCACTGCTCTACTCCGCCGCACAGATGAACAGATAACAGAAGAAATTCCAGAATTGACGCGTGCAGACAAACAGCACCAACCTGTCTCCCTGTGAGAGGGGGGGGCGCGGCCCTTGCCCTCTGGGCCGCTCCATCTGGGGGGACATGGGAGGTCGGCCAGGGTTCCTTTTATCACGGCCTGGAAAATAGATGAAAGATTGATGAACGCCTTTAAAGAGCCAGAAACTTTAAACTTTCAATCATTTGTGGCTGAAAGAGAGCAGATCTACAGCAGATAGAAAAGACAGCAAACAGAAAAGCAGAACAGAGATCAGTCTGCATTAGGGCTGCAACTAACGATTATTTTAAAAATCGATGAATCGGCCGATTATTTTTTCGATTAATCGATGAATCGGACAAAAAATATTTTTTATATTAACCTCTTTATTCCAAAATAAACATTTTAGACAGAACAAACAAGCACACAAGTACAGGTTGCTCATTAACTGTACTGGTGCAATATGAAAAATAAATGTTTGTGTTAAAACTACGCAAACTTACATGAGAAATGTAGCTGTACATCCACAAAATATAGGCTACTTTGTTTCATAAAGCGCAAAAAAGACAGGTAGTTTTGTTTTTAAAAGCCCCTAAGGGGTTCAAACAATAGGTCCCCCCATTTCAACAAATGAGTTTTTTTTAGACTAGAAGAGTTCTGCCTTTTAAGACAGGAAAGTATAGCAGTTAAAGTTGCTACTTGAGAAAATACTGAACCATAGAGATAAAAATAGCCCTGTGATTCAAATTATAAATTTTATTTGGAATAAAAATGAGAGAACTAGGGATGCTAATAAAACACATCCTCCAAAGACATATTTACATGGGAATGTGGCAGATAATTAATTGACATATTACTGATCTTGCTGGATTTTATTCTGCTTTACTTCCATAAATTGCAGGATCTTCTTTTCTTTATCTTTGCCAGAAGATTTAAACTTTAAAAGCCTTGCCCTCATAATTTGCAAGTTAATTTATTTATAAAGAAAATATAAACGCTGCTTAAGCTAATTCAAATGAAATTAAAAGTAAAATAAGTAGCCAACCTTATCACTGTCTGTAACCTACTAACACGGTAAGGAAAGCATCAGATGAGCTACCTGAGAAACTAACGTTACGTTTCCCCACTTTAAAACCAAACAAACATGGTCGCTCATCCTGCTGATCAGCTCTCTTCACTGCCATCCAAGGATCCAGCATGTTTTCTTTTCAGGTGCTGCATCATAACAGTGGTGCTTCTGTGCCATGTTCATTTGTTTTTACAAAAGTTGCATGTTACGACTTTTTTCACTTTACAAAGCGCAGGCTATTTTATTATTGTGATCAATTTGCGCCGTCAATCCCGGCGCATGCGCGCTTCATTTGCAATCCTGCGGCTCTGACTACAGCGCTGAGAGGGACTCCTGCGGGAGCGCCGCGGGAGAACAGGGTTGGGATGGGGGAGGCGCCCCACGGCAATGACGACGGCGGCGGATGACGCATTAATCACGCGACACAACTAATCGATGATGAAATTCGTTGCCAACGCTTTTAAAAGTCGATTTTTATCGATTTTATCGATTCGTTGTTGCAGCCCTAGTCTGCATCCTGAAATCATCTGGAAGGAAAACAAATGTCCACCATGTTTATCTCCATCTTCATCTTCCAACATTAATAATCACCTGCAGGTCCAACCTGACAGAACCAGAACCTTTTGGCCCTCCAGAACCTCCTGCTCTATTCCCTTTAGTCTTTATTCATCATCAAAACAGCTTCTTCTCAGAACCAGAGGAACAGGTATATTTTCAGATGATTAAAAGGTTAAATTATGGAGAACTTTTCCCAAACTAGTTTCCAGTGTGAGCAGGTAAGGATCGATCAGATGGAAACCAGTGGAGGGCTGATCCAGATGCTGGTTCCTCAGAGCGGATGATGATGGTCCACTCACCTCGGTCTGGGGACATGGCCATCCTCTTGCTGGCTGGAGAACCGGGCCGGTCCTTATCTGAGGGCAGGTACCTCTTCCTGCTGCCTCTCTCTCCCTGATGCTGAGAAAAAAACAGAAAGAAGGAAAAGGACAGAATCAGAGACAAATAAGAATGGATCTTGTCCATCAACCAGACCTGCAGCAGAACCAGTCTCTGAGCTGCCGGTCTGCTGGGCAGGTTCTGGATGCGGACCCAGAGCAGGAGGAGACAGACGGACAGGTGGTGCAGATGTTCAGCATTTCCTGGAACACAAGCGCCACGTCCGACGATAGCTGCCAAGAAAGCCACCAACCGTGAAGTCATTGCTAAACTCATTAGACCGAGGTCTAAACCTTCTAACTTTAACCATCGGTGCTGAGATGACGTGCTGCGAATCGCCGCTGCAGAAATAAACTGAATGATTCCTTATTGATGCAGCAGGCAGAACTTTACCAGTTTTCCTTTTTTGAAATTATCCTGTTAGTATTTCTGCCCTCTGGTTTCCTTTGAATCTCTCCTGATCACTGCTGACCACAGCAGCACCCCGTTATGTCACGACTCCACTTGTATTCTCTTCTCCGTTGCTTCAGGTTCTGCATGTCATCCAGCCTGTCCAGAACAGGGACGTTTGGTCGGCCCAGACAAGCCCAGATCCAGAACCCTCCACCTCACTGCTTCACAGCTGTTGGGGGTTCTTCCATGATGTCTTTTAAACGCCTTTTAAGTGAACTGTTGGCTTCAAACAAACGTCACATTAACTCTGAAGTTCCTCCCCCTTCAGGAACAGCGCAGCGTGTTTCAGATCTAAGGCTGTTGTCTGTACCTTTTTGGATTTGGTGTGAAAACCTGATGTCAGCAGAGTGCTGCCATGTTGCCAAATGCTAATTTCAACCGTTGCGTATATTAGCTGCGACATATGAATCAAGATGCTTGATGAAAAGATTTTAAGACAGTATTTTTTTTTAAATAGACATTTTCGTCAATATCAACATTTTGGACAATATCATCTGATAAAGAGTAAATTTATATACATGTTTCAGGCAGAATGATTTGACATTTAAATATGATTTCCCTACGACTTCAAACATTTTATCCCTATTGTTTAAAGCAGAGGAAATATTTCAGAGAAGGCTGGACTTGTTTAAAAATACTTCATTAACGTTAAACTGGAAGGTCGAATGAATGCGAGCTGGCTGTTCAGACACGGGTCGCATTTGAAAAGATCAGATTCTTATTGGATTCAGGACCACATAGCCAAGTGGCCTGGGTCGCATTGGAAAAAATCGCATCTGTGTTGTTCAGACAGCCATTAAAAGATCGGATACAGGTCGCATATGGGCCAAAAAAAAAAAAAAAAAAAAAAATCGGATTTGGGTCACTTGAGGCTGCAGTGTGAACGTAGCCAAAAAAAAAAAATTCTGTCATGATTTGGGGACATTAGGATCTAAAGAGAAGCGTCATCTCATGGTCAGACTCTAATATAATTCAGTGAAAGGGTGGAGTCAGAGTAAAAAAAAATATGCACACCCAGGAGAAGGTCAGTGGCTGAAAGTTGGAAGGGATTTTGCTGCCATTCGGCTGCCTTTTAAAGGAATAGTACACCCAAAACATGATTAGCCTTAATTTTCTACTCACCCCCATGCTGAACAACACTCTGGAGTACTTTTTTGATATCTCAAATGCATCTGGAGATCTGGGAGGCTTCTTGCTGTCTGCTGACATTCAAATAATGGAGGTCTATTGTGCCGAGACAGAAAGGTCCATAAAAGTCCACAAAAAACGTGTCAATATTCCTCCATACTGCTTGTCCAATGTATTCCAAGTGTCCTGAGTGGGTAGCATCCAGAATTTACTCGAAACGAAGTCATTTAGAATGTTTTTAGAGCATAACCAGTAGTGTATAGGATTTCCTGAAAGCGCGTTCACGAGTCTACGGAAACCGCGGCAGACCAAACCAGATGAAAGTGCGCATTCAGCTCAGCAAAGAACTCATGCTCTTCCTCAACACTGAAGTCCTCAGACATTTTTCTTTCGTTGTTTCTTTCTTTGCACAGGTAAACAGCACATTTCTTCTTCTACGCTTGCATTATCGGCAGAGCAGACGCTGAATGCGCACTTTCATCTGGTTTGGTCTGCCGGCTTCCGTAGAGTCGTGAACTCGCAGGCGCGTGCTTTCAGGAAATCCTATACACTACTGTTTATGCTCTAAAAACATTCTAAATGACTTCGTTTCGAGTAAATTCTGGACGCTACCCACTCAGGACACTTGGAATACATTGGACGAGCAGTATGGAGGAATATTGACACGTTTTTTGTGGACTTTTATGGACCTTTCTGTCTCGGTCACCATAGACCTCCATTATTTGAATGTCAGCAGAGCAAGAAGCCTCCCAGATCTCCAGATGCATTTGAGATATCAAAAAAGTACTCCAGAGTGTTGTTCAGCATGGGGGTGAGTAGAAAATGAAGGCTAATCATGTTTTGGGTGTACTATTCCTTTAACTGGGAAGCGCCATTTAGAATGGCTGCTGCTACTGTATAGAGCACCTTTTCAGGTCAGAGGACTTGACCAAGGTGCTTTACATTCAGTCATTCAGCCACACTGATGGTGGGTACATGCCATGTAGCTCACTACCCTTATTGACAGAAGCGTGTCTGGTACCTCCTTTCTCTCCGATGATAATCAGTAGGCAATGCGGGTGGCGTATTTCCCAAAAACAACAACACTGAAAGCCGAAGCTAGGGCTTGAGACAAACCTACATTAACATATTTAATATGTTTTACCAGAAATCTAACAAAAAAAAAATGTAAAATTTGACCTCAGCCGCTACGAGCGGTTTGGACAACCAGAACACAACAGATCTGATCCTATCATCAAACTTTGATTGCCTTCTGGTGAGCCGCAAAAGACTCGTCATCATACCAGTGCTATTGATGGTGTTGCTATGACGACTGTTTCTTAAAGAAAGGGGAAAAAAAATCCCCCTTCCAGAGAACGTTAAACACTGTATATCTGATTCCAGCTAACACAGCACTGAGGGGGAGGAGAGCAAGAGGAAGTCACCTTGTTGAGGAGGGTCAGCTTGATGTCTTTGTGAGAGCCTGAACCTCCGTAGCTTCCAGGGGGCCCCATGGTGCCGGGGCGAGGATGAGCAGGATGCCCCCCCCTGTTGCTGGGTCCTGATCGAGGGATGGCGTTGCTTCCTCTAGGCGGACCTCCGGAAGGGTCAACCTTCCTGCGATCGTCCCTGAAATGTTCCTCTTTCTTTGACGGCCTTTCTGCGAGGCGAGAAAACATGAAACCTGGTTTTTGATTGACATAATTTAAACTAAAATTTCAAGGTAATTTGTTCCAAACAGAATTCTGATCTGTGAGGGTTTAAAATGTTCAGGTTAACTATAGCTGCGTTTGTAGAAGCTGTCCCTTAAAGTTTCGCATCAGTGAAGTTTGATGGAAACGGCAATATTCTAATCAACTCCCTAAAGTTAACAAAAACGTTTTCAAGCTCGCCTAAGTTTTTTATTTTATTTAACATTTGTAGAAACGAGTTGATGCATAAAACAGGAGATGGAAACACGTTTTTCAAATCAGCTCTGATGCAGAAATCCTTTACACTCATGACTGATCGACTGGTTCTGCCGCCTGCGTCTTCCTGGATGTTCCTGTTCAACATGTAAACATGACAGGAAGCAGCGCCGCCATCGCTGGCTGACATGGTAACGACAGCTATAGCAGCACATTCATCAAAGCTTTCCCCCGTCACTGATCTCTGCTCAGTGTCAGCCTCTAGTTCCTGTTTGCTACAGCCATGTATGCCAACATCATGTGGAAGACATTACGCTTTGTTGTGCTTGTTAATTCAAAACGCAGCAAATTTGCATTTCCTTTATACGAACTTTTAAGTTTGCTTAAAATTCGAATTCCAGTTAAATGGACTGCTAATAACTTGTCTGTAAGGCTTCCCTCCATCACACAGCCTTCAGTTTAAACCCTAAAGCATCCTTGTGTGTTGAAGTGATGTCTCCTTTGTCCGCTTACAGAGGGGGAACTGTCTAAGCAGCGTTTTTTAACGCTTGACAGATGCTGAATAAAAAAAAAAACTCCTGGCTTTTCATTTCTAGCTTGTTTTACCTGAGCTTGTTTTCCTGTTTTACTGTTGATGAGAAATGCTAAGCTAAGCTGCTCTACTTTCAGACAGGCTCTCAGGTCTGTTAGCTAAAGCGGCTCTGGGCCACACTGACCCCTGATCTTCTCCCGACCCGGTGGGGACCGTTCCCGCGGGGGACCCCGCTCTCTGCGAGGCTGATTTGGCGTTGGCGAGCGAGAGCTTGCAGATGACACCGGGCTGGCCAGGTCGGCGTACATGTCGTCAGAGTCGGCGCTGCGCACCGAGCTGCTGCTGGATGATGCAGAGGACACCGAGGACACGCTGCTGACGCTCAGTGACCTGAAACCAAAGACGAACTGTGATGAGCGTCCAGCTGCCAACAGCAGGAAACTACCTTCAGCAGATCATCTCACCTGGATTTCCTGGAGAAATTCCCAACAAAAGCAGCAAATGAAAGACAAAAAAATAAAGCATCAGTATGGGGGGGTGTCAATGGCTGCTTAAACACAGACTGAGGATAAATGCTTTAAAAACATGATGCATCCAAATAGGAGGAAAAATGTTAGAAATGATAAAGTTGATCAAAAAGGTCAGAAATAGAAGAGAGATTAAAACAGGCTAATAAATAATGTGGAAAGTAGCAGATGTTCTATGAAGGAGGACTGTGATTGGTTAACAGGGATGTTTTGAAACAATAAACCTGGTTTGCAGCAGTCTACTCATGCTCTGATGACATGCCCGAGTCACAGTCATCCATGTCACCTTTCTGTCCCCGACTCCAGCCTACCTGGATTTCCTGGAGCCGGTGTGCGAGCGAGACCTGGAGGGCGAGGCTGACAGCGAGTTGGACGAGGATCTGGACCTGGAGCTGGAACCCGTATAACTGCTGCCGCTGACGCTCCCGCTCACCGTCCTCCTGGAAAAGACGGAACCGGAACATGTTAAACCTGTCACCCGGACGACAAGGGCTCTGGACACACCGCTAGACACAGCCTCCCACTGCAGAACCCGGTGGTGGCAGTGTCATGCTGAGGGACAGAGAGCTGCTTCCTGAAGGGGAGTCCAGGCGTGCCTATCTGAGGTTAATGCAGGAGAGTCTCCTGCTCAGTAACCAGTGCAGGCCACCCCCTTTGGGCCCTTGATCTACATTTTTGCTAACCTCACATGGAAGCAAATTCTGGACATTGCACCATTGACGTATTAAGCAGAAAGGTAGAAATGTGGCAATGATGGAGCTGCTGTGAAGAAAACAAAATATTAAAGGAAAGCTCAGTGTCTCTCCTTAAAGCTTTCCCTCTCTGGATCCTTTCCTGAAAAGAGATCATTCGGGAAAACCTCTTTAAATAACACTTCATAACTTATATGCATTAAATAACCAGGAGACAGATTCTGATAGAAACTAATCTTACTCAGATCTGAGAAATTACTTAGAGTTACAGAAGGCAGCTGCTCACCAACCGGGCTCACTTCTCTGGAAGTGGCCACGATTAATCAGTTATGCTACGTTCACACCGGACGCAGCAAAAGCAGCAAAATCGCGTCTGCTGCTTCATTTTTAGAATGAAGCAGCAGATGGCTGACGGAGCAACAGCGTGTGTATCTGTTGTCCCAGCTTCATGTCGATATAGACAAAAACCTGAGATCTACAGGACTGTGGATGGAAAAATAATTGTGGAGGATGAGCTCTTGAACTTTTTGGCTGTAAAAATCAGAACTTTGAGCCAGGATGAAATAGTGCTGATGGCTATTAACACTTTCGACACCGAGTCTATAGAGGCCTCCAAGAAAGTACTGTTTGACCTGTGCACTACTACGCAGCGAAATGTAGCGCACAAAGGAGCGCAAAAAGACATAAACAACATCAAAAGCTGTCTAAAAGTCCTAAATGAATGTGGGGAAAATGTGCCACGTTTTGTCTCTCATTATTTGGATGATTTGCCTCCTGTTACTTTCTCAAACATGGATGTCTGCGGTCTGCTCAAGAGAATGGAGCAATTGCACGCTGAGGTTGGAGCGATGAAGTGCGCACTCAAACTTCAGGTGGACGTATGTGAGGACCTTCGTCTGATCACAACAGATGTGAACCGCCGGGTTTCCAGCCTGGAATGTGCAGCGGATGCGGTACCTGAGGACCAGGGTGGGTGTGGATCTGCACCTGTCACCTGTGCTGGCGGCGTACACGGAAGCGATGGACGCAGTGACAGCGACCGCACGGAGGGTGAGCGCAGAAGTGCCGAAGCAAACGCTGCGAACCCGCCAGTTACTCAGGCTGCTGGGCTTGCAGCAAATGCTGGGAGAAGGGATACGGATCGGGCGAGCGTACTGCGCGGGGAAGCTGCCCCTGGAGATAGCAAGATCTCTGGTCAAACTACGTATCCACCGGAATCCCCAAAGTGGAGCGCGGTTGTGAGGAGAGGAAAGCGACAAGCGGGATTACGCGGTACTACACCTGGAGTGAAAACAAATGCTAAAAGTATGGCCATTGTGGGCACAGGGGCAGTGAAAAACATAAAAACTGTGACAACAAAACTGGTGAGTGTTTTTGCTTCTAAATTCTCGCCTGACTTGGATGTACAGACTTTAACTGACTATCTTCAGGGCCAGCTGGGTCGTGAAGTTACATGTCTGAAAATAAGCTCTGATAATAGCAGGTTTGCCTCTTTCAAAGTCTCATCTGACTGTAATGAAGTGGCGGAGATGTACAATCCTGATCTCTGGCCAGTGGGAGCTTATGTAAGGCGTTTTTATGAGCCGCGGAGGGCTGGAGCTGTGGGTATGAGTGGTGCCGTTCCCACCGGGGATGCAGATGAGTGGGGCCTCCTTTGCTTGTGGCACCAAGGCCAAATAAAACTGAACAGATGGCTCTTAAAGTTCTCTCATATAACTGCCGTGGCCTGCGCTTGGGCCATAGTGCAGAGGACAAAGCTCGCCGGGTTGTTGTAGACCAACTTCTGAGTCAATGTGATGTGCTGTGTCTACAAGAGACTTTTCTGACAAAGCAGGATTTAGAAGGACTGAACTCTATAAATGAGCGTTTCCACGGGGCTGGGGAGTCCAGTGTTGATATTGGGGATAGAATAATACGAGGACGGATTGCCGGTGGTGTGGCAATATTATGGGATAAGAGACTAGATCCTTGTGTTAAAATAATCCGACTGGAAGTGGACTGGTGCATAGCAATACACCTGACACAACATGACAGGGAATGTGTTATCCTGAATGTGTACACCCCATATGAGTGCATTGCTAATGAAACTGAGTATCTTAACAAGCTTGCTTTTATTAACTCTTTTATACAAGATAACAAATTTTTTAATGTGTTTGTTATTGGTGACATGAACTCTGATATCACTGACAGTAAATCTATCTTTGGTACTCATTTAAAGCAGTTTTGTGAGGATAGTGGGTTAGTTCTCTCAACGAAAGTTCTGCTGCCTACAGATAGTTTTACATATATTAGTGAGGCATGGCATACAACCTCATGGTTGGATCACTGTGTAACCACAGCAGATGCACATGCCTCATTGACCGACATGAAAATCCTGTATGAATTCTCTACTGCCGATCATATTCCATTTGGGATGCAGATAAATTTACAGTGGTTACCAATGACAGAAAAGTACTCTGAAAGCAACAAATTACACTTAGACTGGAGCTCACTGTCAAAGGAGGATCTGCTATCTTATTCGATGTGCACAGATAACTCACTCAGGAATATCTACTTGCCCAGAGAAGCAGTTAGCTGTAGAGATGCTAATTGTAAAAATCCTGAGCACATAAGATCCATTTGTTCTGTGTATAATGAAATAGTTAATGTTTTGATTGCATCAACTAAACACTTTCATAAACAAATAAAGAAAAATAAGATCAGGCCAGGTTGGAATACCCATGTGGTTTAATTTTTTAATAGAGCTAGAGAGGCTTCTAAGGAATGGATTGAGGCAGGTAGACCAAGATCAGGGCCTGTCTTTGAACATAAAAAGTATACCAATGCCCAATATAAGTATGCTGTGCGTTATATTGGTAAAAATGAAAGAGCAATGAGGTCTGACTCAATGGCCAGAAAACTCTTCTGTAACAATACCCAAGGCTTCTGGAAAGAAGTTAGAGGTATGACATCCTACAAAACATCCCTCCCATGTTCGGTTGATGGCATATCAGGCACTGCTAACATTGTGGAGCTGTGGCGCCAACATTACAGCAGATTATTTAATTGCATCCATAGTGAACCATGCACTGCAAACAATGTTGACCATATAGATGAAATCCTGCCTTATGAGGTTCATAAAGCTATTTCCAAATTATCTAACAATAAAGCCACTGGGCTGGATGGAGTCTCAGCTGAACATTTAAAGTATGCAAATGCAAGGCTAGCTCCTCTACTTTCCATTTGTTTCACATCGTTTTTTATTCATGGGCTTTTACCTGACTCTATTTAAAGTGTCCTGTTAATACCCGTCATCATAGACAATACTGGAAACATTGGCAATTCTGATAATTACCGTCCGATAGCGCTGGCCAGCATAGTTTCAAAAATTATTGAATCAATCCTGCTGGACAGGATTTTAGAGGTTATCAAGTCTACAGATAACCAGTTTGGTTTTAAGGCTAGGCTGGGCACAGATATGTGTATATATGCTCTAAAAGAGATTACTTATAAATATAATAAGCAGAACTCTTCAGTGTTTATGTGTTTCCTGGATGCATCAAAAGCATTTGATAGGGTAAACCACAGAAAACTATTCACAAAACTGACACAAAAAGGAGTACCAGAGTATATTGTTCGGATTTTGAAGTACTGGTATACTCAGCAAACACTGCAGATTAAATGGGGGGAATGTGTCTCTGCTCCATTCAAAGTTAGTAATGGGGTGAGGCAGGGCGGGATTTTGTCCCCAGTTCTCTTTAACTTGTATCTGGATGAACTGTCACACAAGTTGAGAGCTTGTCACACTGGTTGTGTGGCTGGTGACTCGGTACTTAATCACCTGATGTATGCAGATGATTTAGTAATATTTAGCCCTAGTACTGCTGGGTTACAGCAACTACTAAACATCTGCTCTGAGTATGGTCTGGAACACGACATAAAGTACAATCCATCTAAAAGTGTGATCATGATCTGTAGGAGTAAGGAAGATAAATCTACTGAGTTTCCAGATTTTTTGCTGTCAAATACTGTGCTGGGCGTAACAAATAAAACCAAGTATCTTGGGCACATCATCACAGAAAATCTGTCAGACGATGAAGATATTTGCAGACAGCGTAGATTGTTGTATGCTCAAGCTAATACCCTTGCACGTAAATTCGGTTCATGTACTGATAAAGTCAAAGTGGAACTGTTTAATGCATATTGTACCTCTCTGTACACTGCTCACCTGTGGACTACCTATAGAAAAGTCAACCTGCAAAGGCTGCAGGTGGCCTATAATGATGCTATGCAGTTACTTTTGAAACGTCCAAGATGGTCCAGTGCAAGTGAGATGTTTGTCACAGCAAGAGTTAATACCCTACAAGCTGTTCTACGAAAGTTAATGTATAAGTTTATTTGTAGGTTAAATGCATCTGAAAACGATATTATTTTGTCACTCACTGATACCACACGTAGTGCAATCCGATATCAGTCTAAGCTGTGGAGACACTGGTATTCCTGTCTTCTTAAAGATCCTATTTAATCGATAATGGTACTTGTATTGTGTTTTTATCATTAACTATTTTTATTTTATTTTTATGTATGTATTTATTGGACCATGAGTCCGGAATAAAGTTTATCTATCTATCTATCTATCTATCTATCTATCTATCTATCTATCTATTTTTGCTGCTTGTACCAGTTTAGTTCTGACGCGCGGCTGAAGCAGCTTTGCTGCTCTGGCTGCGCGGCGCAAAAGTGTGTCTGACGCACGTTGGGCGGAGCTA